GAAATGTGGACTTGGGGGCCTGACTCCTGAAATGTGGACTTGGGGGCCTGACTCCTGAAATGTGGACTTGGGGGCCTGACTCCTGAAATGTGGACAGTGGAGGCCTGGCTCCTGAAATGTGGACAGTGGAGGCCTGGCTCCTGAAATGTGGAGAGTGGAGGCCTGACTCCTGAAATGTGGACTTGGGGGCCTGGCTCCTGAAATGTGGACAGTGGAGGCCTGGCTCCTGAAATGTGGACAGTGGAGGCCTGGCTCCTGAAATGTGGACAGTGGAGGCCTGCTCATGAAGACATTTCATAGAAGAATGTTAACTAGACACAATTCTCCTGGTATTTTGGCAAAGAATGTGCTTTTTGCCCCTGTCCTAAAAATCTGCCTGAGGCTTAACTGAAGAGTTTTGGATTAATTTTGTTGGCAGAGGAGATTTCAAGACAGCCTCATGTTGACTCTGTTGTGTAGTTATTAGTGATCACTCTTATGCCAATCTACAATGAAAAAGACCAAGTGGGCAAAAAAGAAAATACAAAACACACGTTTGAAGAGAAAAAGAGCACTGGGAAATTTAATGTTAAAGCCTTGGTTGATGCCGAAAGAGGTAAGAAGAAATAAAGGGAATGAAATTCTCAAGGTGAAACTCCCATCCAGCTAACCCTGAAACTTGTGGGAGAAAGGGCCTAAAGAATGATCTATTTCTAAAGAGCAACAACAAATCAAAAGTTTATGCAAATGTAATTCAAGGAGGGGCAGGTTCCATCCTAGGAAGGCAGCGGAACTTCACAGCTTTGGCACATGGATCTGGTGTTAAGAGTCATGAAGGAGTTATAGAGTCTTTCTCTGTGATTAAGGAAAGCCTCCAAGGCCAGGCCTGTGGCAGTAGAGTCCCCACATGGAGGCCCAGAGAGGCGACTGTATGACTCTGGGAAAGGGAAGCACGGATTACGTTGGAGACCTGAAGATGTTGGAGATGCCAGAGCCTGGTGATACCTGCCAAGGAGAGCCGCTAACAGGGAGTGGAACCAGCCCAGGAGGGAGAAGTGTGTTGCAGTCAGACAAGCTGGGAGGGAAGGGACATCGAAGCCTTTTGACACTAGAAGTAAGCCTACAGGAATCAGAGCTTGCTCTCCTGGTTTTCTGTCTTGCTTTGGGCCAGCATTTCCTCATTTGCCCCCTTCCCTCCCTTCTGGAATGTTAATGCATATTCTGGGCCATCATATGACAGAAGCATGTAAGTAGCTTTTCGGTTTTCCGGGGGTTTACAATTCAGAGATTGTCTGAGTCTTAGAAAAAGACTTTGGACTTTAAACTGCACTGAGCCTGTGGCAGACTATGTGGCTGTCTGAAGTTGGACCAAATGCATTTTGCGTTATGACATGGCTCCACGCCTAAAGGGGCCCAAGAACAGAAGTGGTGGTCTGAGTGAGAATGGCCTCTAGAGGCTCACATATTTGAATGCTTGGTCCCCAGTTGTCTGGAAAGGATTAGAAGGTGTGTGGCCTTGGAGGATGTGTGTCACTGCGGGTGGGCTTGGACCTTTCCAAAGACTCACTCCATGCGTGTGCATGTTCGTGCATGCGTGCATGCTGCCTGCCTGGTGTGGATCAGATGTAAGCTCTCAACTACTACTCCAGCACCACGCCTACCTGCCTGCTGCTATGTTCCTCATCGTGATGATCACGAACTCTAACCTCCTAGAACCACAAGCCCCAATAAAATGCTTTCTTTTATAAGTTGCCTTGGTCACAGTGTTTTGTAACTTAGGTATGGAATGAGGCCAGAGTATTTGTAGTAGGTGAGAGTTGGGGGGGGGGGGGCAGAGGGAGCTGTGAAAGTCTGAGACCAACCTTGGGGGCCAACCGCTTTCCTTTCTGAGACAGAGTCACAATGGCCTAGAGCTCTTCAATTCAGCTGGGCTGGCTGAGAAGGGAGCCCTAGCGATCTTCTAGTCTCCACCTCCCCGGTGCTGAGACTACAAGCACGTGCTACCGCAGGCAACTTTTTAAAGTGACTTTTGAGGCTCAAATCTAGGTACCCAGGCTCACAAGGCAAGCATGCTACTGAGTCGTCTCCCCGCCCCCCAAGTCTTATTTTTGAGGGGATAAGATAAAAGGCTCCCACTGACGTCTGGTGTGGAGAGGACGTCTAGCCACCAGCCTCACAACCATGCATTCTTTGAATACAATTACCACATCAAAGATAGGAGCATGAACTGAGATGAAACCTGAAAAGGAGCAGGGGAGGGGGTGGAGAAAAAGGACCCACAAACATTTACAGAATCAATAAATGCTTACAACAGATTTGTAAGGGCCAGCAGGTAAAGGCACTTGCTGCCGAGTCTGCCGTGAGTTCAATCCCCAGTGCTCACGAGGAGAGAACTAGTTCCTGTAAGTTGTCCTCTGACCTCCACACACAACATGGCACAAGGACCCCCATACACAGACACAAATAAATACATAAAAATTTTAAGTGGAAAAAGGAGAAAGTGAGCACTCACCGGGACTGTGGCAGCCCTTTCTTACTGAGGTCTGCCCTCACACGTTCGCCTACATGTCTGTAAATCTCCACCAGACTGTTTATTGCTGCATCTCTAACCTAGACATAAGAGAAAAGATCTTACAGGTCTTCATGTCACTCCCCAGCTTGATCAGATAGAATCTCACAGTCTATATGCCACCCCAGTTTATCACCAGCCTACCAGCACAACCATGCACACAATCCCCATACATGCCAGACTAAGTAAAGGGCACATGTGGGTGTTTTCACTCCCATAAAACAATCCCAAATCATAGAAAATCCAAATTGTAGAAAAAGTCTTCAGCTTTTTAAACAGACCCCCAAGTTCTCCCCATTCTTTAAGATCAGGAAACCAGAATTTTCAAAATAAAAAAACAAACAAACAAAAAACAACAATGAACTATGCTACAAGTAAGGCATAAGATATGCAGTGGTTTGTATGAGAATGGCCCCCGGTTGGTGGAACTGTTTGGGAAGAATGAAGAGGCGTGGCTTGTTCGAGGAGGTGTGTCACTGTGGGTAGGCTGATGGTTCAAAAGCCCACATCAGTCCCAGTTAGCTCTCTCTGCCTCGTGCTTGTGAAACAATATATAAGCTTTCAGCTCTAACGCCATGCCGGCCTGCTGCCAAGCTCCCCGCCATGATGGTCATGGACTCTAACCTTTTGAACCTGTAATTCTTATACAAACTCTTTCTTTTGTAAGTGGCCTTGGTCATGGTGTCTCTAGTAATTAAGATATTATATAAGTACATTATGTAAAGCATCAGCTTCATGTGTAAGGAAATTAAAACAAGAAACAAAAAGGAGCAATAACCTGCTAAAAGGGCCCTACATTCAAGGAATTTACAATGCTAAAACAAAGAAACACTGCACAGAAATGCCACTTTTAACAGAAGGCAGGATGTGGTCAACACTGTCCAAAACCAAAGATCATAGCAGAAAGGTAAGAACAGGGCTGTTGGGTAATGTGCTGGCTCTGTAGGCACAAGGACTCTGGTGACCCCTAGAACCCATGTAAAAAAAAAAAAAAAAGCCAGGTGGGCACATCTTTATACTCCCCACACTGGGAAAGCAGGGACAGATGGATCCTGGGGTTCAATGACCATTTAGCAGAGCCTACATACACACACGCACCTACAAAGAGAGAGAGAAGTTGGGGAGGAGGGAGGGAGGAGTCACGTCAGTGCTCAGAAGAGTCAGATTTTGCCAGGTACAGAAGTGCGGCAGATGGTCGGGATCCAAATAAGACCCTGCTGCTCAAAGGCAGGAGGCACTTGGGCCCTCATGAACTGCAAGTGCACCATCTGGCCAGACACAAGGACCTACTACACAGCCAGTGAAATAAGGAGGAAGGGACAGGACGGATGTGTTTTCTTGGAGAAAATTCATGGAATATACATCAAATATCAATGTACTGATGCTAAATTTCTATAGTATAAAGTGGCATGTGAGGTCATTGAGACTGCTCAGCGGGGAGATTGGTTTGCTACCAACCAAGCCTGACAGCCTGACTTTGATCCCCAGATCCCAAGCAGAAGGAAAGAACTGCCTCCACAAGGTGCCCTTTGACCCCTACAAATGAGCTCTTTACAGATACATATGCTTATTTTTAAAACCATGTGGTTATATGAGAAAATACTTTTGCTGTTATATGAAACATTGAACTTTCTGGAGTAAAAATATTATGTCTGAGTGTTATTTCCAAAAGGTTCAGAGAACAAATACACATCTTCAAGTATGTGATGCACAAGCAGGCGTAAAACAGATCTGCCAGGGCTAGCTGACAGACCCAAGTGCTCGCTCAACTGCTCTTCTGGCTTTTCTGTGAGTTTATAATTTTGCAAACAAAAAGAAAACAATACATTTCAATACAGAATGTCATAAGGGCCAGGCAAAAAGTGACAGGGATGCAACAGGGTTTTAGATTTGTTCTGTAGCAATGCAACCAAAGGATGAGGGTGTTGTGGGGTATTGGTTTACACTGTGTGAGGATGTGT